ATGTCCGTGACAAATCACATTTTCTATATATAATATCTTATAAAACCTTAAACCCTTCTACGTGCCTGCCATCACAGCAAGCCCTACTGAAACTTGGCTGTCGACTATTTAATTGAAGCTTTGCTTGATCCCGCTACCGCCCGACCCAGGACGATGAAGATGATGAGGATGCTGAAGCTGATGAGGGTTCCTCTTCGGGCAACAGCGAGGTTGAGGAGACGCCTTTGCCGAGCAAGCCCGAGAACCATTGCCCGCTGCCCCAAAGCTCCGTAAATTAATTTAAGTCGATCATGATATCCGACAGAAACCCAAACACCTGATGCCCTAGATTTCAACACTGCGCGACGCTACCTTGCCAGATGATCCTAAAGCTCTAGCAAAACTGAACGCCACCTTGAAGCGCATCTGCACGCCGAAGAAATCGTCGGGACGCCTGGACGTGTCCCCAAAGATCTACAAGCAATGGATGGAAGGTGGCGATGCACGCAAGTGTTTGCTACGAGCTCTGGTGAAATGTGATTGCATCAAAGACACGACCCTAAGCCCTGAGCTTATGTGTGCCGTAAGATTGTTATGTTTCGGATTTAGAATTTGCAGGTTGCTCCCCGAACAAACCTTCCGTAATATACCGTGAAATAGTTCTGCTCCAGCCAGGAGCAGTTCATCCACCGCCTCGGGTACCAGCGCCAGCACATGAGGTCAACCAAAACCACCATAAAAAGTGGTTTCTACACGAAGAAGCATATGAAAGACGATCTGAAGTTCGACAAGTGCCCTGTGCAATAGTCTAAACCTATCGGTTCCTAGCTAAGTTTTCTGCCACCCGAGATTAGACGGCTGTTTTCTCTGTATCACCGAGGGACAGGATTGCTGCAGTTACGCCTTACTGTATGCACCCGAAGAGGATCAAGATCCACACCAGGCAGCTCGAATCAAAGCATTATCGGGCTTTAATTTTGGCGGGTTGCTGTGTTGGGCTTCCTTGTTGTTTGCATCGCCAGTTGTGACTCAAGACGATTCAGCAAAAGTCACGGGTCGTTGTCCAAGGCTGGCTGAAGCGAAACTACAGAGAAGGCAAGATGTATAGTGAGAGTGTATATAGGAGATGGATCAGAGAGAGCGAAGGAGGGAGGGAGAGAGAGTGCAAAATTCCAGCGTACAATCAAGACAGTCAGAGCAACCTACCAGAGATCAATCACTTTCCGCAATTTCACACTCCAAGCATTCCTTTGTGCAACCAAGCAGTCGTCCAGTCTTGAGCCAATGCCATTCGGCATTGTTGCATTCACAAATGCATCTTGAACATTCAGGGTCACATTGGGATAGTGTCATTTAACACAGTCCCTTGATTCTGACTTCAGTCGAGAATCACTCAACTCACTATCCAATCACAGCATCATTGCGCGCAGTAGGAAAACAACATTCGAAACAAAACGACGAAGCAACTGCGGGCTGATTCTAAACTATTGCTCGAACGGTCGGGCATTCAGTTCACTACTGTACAGGTAGGAGACACATTGTATCTATACAATCGGCGTGCTTTCAGTCGGGAAAACATTCTGTACATTATTGAACCCGAGAACTTCATTCTCTGCATTCCGCGGAAGAAATCCATTCAACATTTCAACAAAAACTTCACATTCTCCAAAACAGATAGCATTCGATAAGCGCTCCATGAAACATTTGCTGTAGCTCAGTCACCATTCACTTCTCAAAAGATCGGGCAGTGGAAGACTTCGCATTCGCATTCACGCGGAGAACCACTTCTGCCCCAGGATTCAATGCATTCGCAACATGAGCCAATGCAGTGGCTGATCCCGAGGACGTCATTCCGGATGCCATTCCGGATGGCTTGTCCAGTCCGGAGGCCTTCTTGTGCATTGCCGCAGTCGATGCACTCGGGGCATTCCAGGCATTCGGGGCATTCGCTGCCTCTCCATCATCTACAGATCATCCCGCCTGCTGCAGTCGCGGTCAAGACCAGCTCCAGCTGCTTGCACTGACGGGACCGTTGTGCGTCCCATTAAGCGCCATTCGATCAGGCCAGCATGTCGCCTAGTGGCCAGTCGGTTCCATTCTGCCATCTCCGACAAGCACAGAAGCTGAGGGCCAGTCCTCATGTAAGACATTGCATCATTGGGGTCCATTCTGATGATCCCCATGCTGAGCTTTGAGCTGTCAGTCGGGACAGTCCAGGTCCATCTTCCATGCTTCTCGCCATCAGTCTCGACCAGGAAGCCATTCTGAGTCGAGATATGATCAGTGATTGGCGATTGAAGTAGTTGGTTAACTTCATTTTCTTGCTCCCCCAGTGCCTTGTGGCTTCAGTGATGCCACGGCGCCTCACTACGAACACCAATTGCTCGTAGATGGCAGATGGCATTCTCATCAAAGCATCCCTGGCAGTACCATTGCACAGTCTTCGCATTGCCGACAGTGCATTGAAGCTGCCATTCAGCTGGCGGCAGGGGAAGCGAGAAAGGTCAATCTCGCCAGTCGCATAGTAGTTCTCGCCGACACTCTTCGGGAGGAGGATCCAGTCGTACACATTGACCAGATCTGCGACCAAGTTCTCCTTGGCATTCGGGGCGAGCTTCCATTCGATCTGCCAATTCCCCTTCGTGAGGAACATTCGCTCAGCCTTGGTCATTGCGAACCAGCCAGTCTCAATCATGCACTCATTGATGCCATTGGAGACAGCGCGGATGTCCAGAGAGTTCATTCTCAATCTCAGGCTGGACATTGGACCATTGCTGTGCTCATCTGGGTGATCAAATCTGCACCCAGACATTCCTCCACTTCTGGTGCCAGGAAGAAGCACCGACAGGATGGGGCATTCGTCGCTCCATTCTCTCTTGTAGATCGCCTCAGCCAGTTTAACCTGGGCTGCAAACATTTTGAAGCTGGCTGGTGCTTAAGCGTGAGTGGCCGAGTGGTGGACACGGTGGTGGGACGATGAGACATGATCGGTTTCACCCACTTGCTTGCCTCAAATCTGGGCTTGCGAGTCGTCGGGACAAAAAAAGAAACTCGGGACCCAAAAAGCATTGTAGTCCCCGTTCATTGCATCGGTCTTGTTCTTTCCTATGTGCAGTGTGCAGCCTGGGATTTTCTACCCTTTGGGTGGCGCGCAACAAAAACAGATTTGCCACATCCTTTTTCCGAAACAGAACATAACAAAGCAAAAGGGCTTGGGTTGACCGCCTCCGCTGGCAAAAGAAAAGAGTATCTGGAGTTGAAGAGACATCGTCCTGTATGCTTTTTGATTGTGTGCGCCATGTATGTTTGAGCAAGACACACCAACAAATTCAATTCCTCAATCCCGAGAGATGTCTGCTTGCGCTTTGCAAGCACATGCGAAGGGTGTCTGGCTTTCTCAGGTTGGTTTTCAGGGTTCAGGAAAGCGTAGTCTTAAGGCCTTAAGGTTGTGGTCGAGGTTCTTTTGGGTGGATTCAGCTGTGCTTTTGGGGATTGGGGTGCCGCAGCCTCAGGCCTAAAACGTAGACTCCTCCTGAACCCCATGTTCCTGTCAGGGCCCTGCAGGATACAGGTATGGTTCATCGACATCATCAAGATCGTCACACCAGGTGCTGCGATAGCACGTCAAGAGCGACAGAACCGGAGGAATTAGGTGCTGCGATAGCACCGTAACAATGGGGCAGTGCTGCGATAGCACTGGAAAGAATCAAACAGTGCTGCGACAGCACTGGGAGAATCAAACACTGCTGCGATGGCAGTAGAAAGGGCAGTCAGTGCTGCGATAGCACGGATCAGCAGAGCAAACACGTGCTGCGATAGCACCCTGACACCATGAGTCAGTAGCAGAACCAGCTCATGCCGGTACGTCGTTATCCAGGGATAGGCTGTCAGGGAATGTGCCATTTCTCAACCAAAGAAAAGGCCTGCAATGGCCTGCAAGAACACGCAAACCTAAAACTCTAAACCGCAAACCCTCATAAACCCTAAAACCCTAAAGCCTTAAACCTTAAACCTGAAGCTATCACCCCTGGGCAATCTTCATTCCATCCTGCTCAATCTTCTCCAGCTGCTCATTGCTGGTGTTGACGACATACGAGTCCAGTCCTTGCCAGAACTTCTCGCCTCAGCACCACAGTCCATTTTCGTCAAGGCATGGAACACTTCCATGTTGACCGGGCCATTCCGAGACAGTCTGTGCATTTGCGTGAACTCACACATCAGGTGAGTCGTCTCAATCGGAATGTCATTCAAGCCAACATTGTCCACAGGAGGAGCATTCGGATGTCTTCGGTAATTCGCTGACGGTGCTGCAGTGGCTGCAGTCGCAGCCTTCGCCGAAGGTGCTGCCTTCGCATGTCCATTGTCAACATTCTGTGTCTCAGTCGGCACAGGAGGCGGGGACTTCTTCGGCACGGCAGTCGGGGCTGCATTCGGTGCTGCCTTTGGTGCAGCAGTCGGCCTAATGCCCATTGCCGAATCAATCTGCTGATTCCCAGTCAGGCTCACTTCCTCGAGCGGGGAATGAGAGAATTTTTGAGAGAGAATTTTCCGATCCGGAATATTTTCTTTCTCGAAATGAAGTGTTTTAGATTTTCCGATCTCGAATGAGATCTCTTCGAAATGTTTTCTTCGATCTTTTCTCGTCGAATGTCGATGGATTGCATGTGCCGTGCAAAGGACTGTCTGAGACATGTCCTATGAATGAGATCAATGTGTTTCCCCGAAATGTTTCCTCTGATTGCTTTCCTTAGTGCGACTGTAGACTGTTCAGATTGCCATCGCGACTGCCTCCGTGCTCTACTGTAGCAACGGCAGCAAACTCCCTCGCGACTGTCCCAGAAGTTCGATATGAGGACATGACTGGAGATGAGGTGGCTCAGGAAGTGGCCAGACTGAGTGGAGTGTCTGTTGAAGAAGTGATGAGTGATGGAGTGCAGGCCTCACTGGTCGCACTGCATCTCACTGGAGACTTGCCTGAGGATCGTGAGGATTTGACCCGACTGGCGACTGGCGAATCTTTTGTTCGTCCGACTTGTCTTCACGAGAGTGCGTCCTGATCCGAATGCCCCTATCTTTCTTTGGTTTTGGGGTTTTCTTGACACAACAGTGCACATGCAGTCATGACAAGCAGTCGGCTTCACTTTACATTAGACAAGACAGCATTGACATGCCTGCAAGCACTCAAAACATGCACACTGCATTCAGCTGCTGCACGCGGAAGCTCATGCACTCAGTCCCCCGGCGTGGACTTCAGTCCAACGACGCCAAGAGAAGCATTCAGGCGCAGTGTGTGCAGAGTACACGCACGCACAGTGAAGAGAACGCGCACGAAGGCGGGCGGGCGGGTGGGTGCACGCAGCGAGCATTCAGGACGGCAACATGATCATCAGTATCATGAGCAACAGAAGCCACATTGTCCTTGAACCAGTTAGAGACCACTCCCAAATGGGCCTCAAATGGGTAATCAATCTTTGGAGCACATCAGTGGCCACATACTTGGTCATTAGATCTGCGGGATTCCGTGTGCCGTCAATCTTTGCCATTTTGAGCAGACCCATTTGCACCAAATTCTGCATATAAAGAAATCCCAGTTCCACGTGTTTCGTTTTCTTTCCAGTCCCAAAGCGGGTTGCCATGGACTTTCCAGCAGTGCTGTCCGTATGAGCAATCAGACCAACTCGCTTGGCCAGTCTTGACTCCAGCAACATTGATCGGATGAACAGTGCTTCAGACACTCCTTGGCCAATCGCATACAATTCAGCTTGACCAGAGGACAGTGCCAAGGTGCCTTGTGTTCTCGCAGTGCTGACCATGTTGCACCCAAGAACATTGACAGTGGATCCACTAGTGCTCTTTCTGGTTCTAGAGCATCCAGCCCAATCCGAATCCACATAGACATTCACATCCAAAGAACGGCTGCCATCAGACAACTGATAAGTTGGACGCAGTCGCAGAACACACATCTTGGCACCAATCAGATATCTCAACAAACGCTTAAGCTTCGCAACACTTTGCATTGTCGGGGCAGTCACATCCCGACTCAACTCTTTTGTTGCATAAGCAATGTCACCTCTGATCAGTGCCAACCACAGCAGTTTGCCAACTGCAGTCCTGTACACTGAGTGTTCTTCAGGACTCAAAGGTGTGTCCGCCACAGTCTTCACAATCGTCACCGATCCAGTCGTTGCAACAGGCTTGGCATTCTTCATTCCATAGAGATCCAGGATTGTATCGGCATATGTCTGTGACATGCACACATCAATCGAATCACCATTGTGTCGCAATCTCCTGCCAAGAAAGGTGTGCTCAGTCCCTGGCACGAGTTTGCCAGTCTCTTTGAGCAAAACCTCTTTTGACAGTCGGGACATGAATTCCTTTCTCATTGACTCAGTCCCTACGACCAACAGATCATCAACGTATGCCAGCACACACAGTCTGCCCGATTCGTGGCAGTAGAGATTGGGGTCACTCTTGCACCTTCTGAACCCCAGTTTCGAGGTCATTACCTCGGCGAAGTGCTCTTGCCACAATTTCGGGGCCTGTCGCAATCCATACATTGCCTTTTTCAATTTCCAAAGGCAATCACCATTCGGGTAGAATTCCTTCGGAGACACGTCACCTGACATTGCTGCATGCAAGAAAGCAGTGCTCACATCAGCGAGGGTGATTCCCCAGTTTCGTTCAAGCGACATGCAAAGCAACAGTCTCATTGTCACCAGTGACGGTGTGGATGCAAAGAGGTTGTCTTCTTCATTCTTCTCAACATTCTGGAAACGACCACGCACAACAACTCTGCATCTGAGGTCGGTCTCATTCTTCCAGACTTTGACCCATCTGCAGTCGAGGGCCTCATTGATCTGTTCTTCCGAACAGTCCTGGACCGGTACCTCGTCGTACACTTCGAACTCCTTCATTGAGTTCATCTCAGTCATCTCCTTCATCATTCCTTTCTCCTCTGCCTCAGGAGGGAACTCACTTTCCCAGAGCAGTGGCTCTGCCAGCCTCATGTCTTGCTCCATTTCTCCTTCCTCAGCATTCACGTCAACTTCAATCTTAGTGCCATCTTTTCCAACGACTTCGTCAACTCCAACAATCGACGCAAGCCATTGACAAGCAGGTATCACTCCAGCAATCAGACGGTGAACTGCTGAAATCCTCATTTGCCTGTTCACAGGATCAGTCGCAGGTGAAGCTGGATCAATTCTGGCTTTCTTAGACGCAGTCTCAAAAGACTCCGGAGGATCATGAACATTCCCATTTGGGGCACGACCTGAACCAACAGTCAAGCTTTCAGTCTGTTCAGGTTCAAGGTCTTCGAGCTGTTCATTCTCCTCTTCTTCTTCAACTCGCTGCAGTCCCGGAGGAGGTTTCACTCTACCTTTCACTCCAAGATCAGGTGGCATTACGAACGCAGTCGAAACAACTCCATCACCTTTGGGCTGCCAAGGTACAGACAACATTTTTGTCACTCCAACCGCATTCCATTGCTGTGAAGGCGGTCTTCTCTTGACAGTGCGGACCTTGAACACTCCATCTGCATTCCCAATGATGACTTCATCTGCCTCAGTGTCCTTTCCAAGGTACACTCCCGAGAACCATTGTGGTCCTCCTTTCGGGATCTTCAACTCGTTGCTCAGAGGCATTTTAGCATCAATCCATTCGCCAAACATGCACAATGATCCACCGTAGTCGCGAGACCAACGTCGATGATAGGCAGTCTTGCCATCACTTCCAATCAAATATCGGTTGATCAACCATTGTGAATGTTTCACGCACCAAGTGAACATCGGCGACTCCGAGGTCAACTTCAAACCTTTCCGACACTCCCCGACTTTGGGAATGCCCAGTCGGCGCTGCTCGCATCGACAGTCCACCGACAGTCTTGCAAAGGTCCTTGGCAATCACCTTCAATGCATTTTCCTTGTCATATTGGATGATTCCAAATGTTCGACCAATCTCGAATACAAATCTGCGCAGTTCAGCAACAGCGTAGTTCTCAACACTCCCCTTGGCCGGGAGGACAATCGCCATTGCATATCCAGTCTGCACATCAGTAGCAGTCAAGATAGTCCTCTTCGGGATTCGGGAGCGGCATGACTCTGTCTTCCTTTCGACTTCATACAGTGCTCACACCAAAAATGTGTCAACTCATGCAGTCTCCTCACATTCTCAGAGGGCTCACCTGGAGTCTTCAGCATTCTCGGCTTGATGGCGCTCTTATCTCCAGTCTGCTGTTCAGCATTCTCTCCAGCAGTCGGTCGATCAAGAGGAACGAACAATGTATATCCAATCCACATGTGACCAATCTGACCTCTCGGGTCGTCGCATTTCTTGACAGTACCATCGGGCATCTCGATGTCTGCCCACTCATTTTGATGGCCAGTGTCAATCAGCGACGGGTCACTCGAATCGAAGAACATTGAACATCGATCACCTCACAAGCAATCACTCAACAATCCATCCACACGTGAAGGAGCATCATCTGGGTGGAAATAGCAGTCTCTCCACTCGTGATGCATTCTGATCCAATATCGAGGAAGCAGTATCCACCGGTCAGTCGTCCGGGGCGCTGCAGTCTCTGGATCCTCGAGATTGAACAGTTGCAACAACAACTCCTTCATTCTGCTGCCATGTTGAGGCAGTGTGGTTTGTGCTTCAATCCAAACTCAACTCGACCACGCCATTCTTTCGGGTCCTTCAACCTCGTGTTCCTGGCATTCAGGAAATTCTCGTCCCTGATAGTGACAGTCGATCCGTCCTTGTACTTCTTGTACGTGACTCTTTCACCAGTCAATCGAGACCATTGTCCGGCAATCGGAACCGGCGACTTGTTAGCCAGCTTGTGCCTTGGATCCAACATTTCATGTCTCCACACTCTAACATGCCGAATCAACTTCAGTTCGGACTCATTGACTTCCCACATGTCCCAGCGATATCCTTCATTGTTCTTCATTCCTTGAGCAGCTGCAATCAGCGCTCCAATCTGGAACAAGTGGTCAATCGATCCGTCATGCATGTCCGACACTCCACGCAACTCAACCGACCCAAGCTCAGTCTCGATGCCAGTCATCACTTCAGGCAAAAAACTCGCTGCCATTCTTGCTGCGTCAGCCACAGCATAAGGTATGACAGTCGGTGTTAGATACACCAGTGTTCCTTGACGCACAATCGGCACAGGATTGCCAGTCGGGTCAATTAAGGCAAGGTAATCCTTCGCCATCACCGTCCAGAAATCTTGCAACAACAGTCTGGCAACACTCACCACTGGGAACGGTATCCCGGCGCACACATAGAATTGCACACTCAACGAATGACCATTGCCACAGTCAAGTTGTACAATCTTGCGACCTTGCACATCCAGTGTCTTTCCAGTGAGGGTGCACTCTCATTCAAGGGCAACACAGGGTAGTCCGGCGCAAGCCATTCCGGACAACAGTTCGCGCAAGCTCCACTGTCGAACAGTATCCACG